TTGAGTCTTGTACACCATGGTGTTGGGGCCGATGCAGTCGAAGCAGTGGTTCAAGACGTGGTCGTAGGCATGGCATCCTGAGACACTCGAGTTGTCGCGCATGTAAAATCTCGCGATTTCACCTGAAGTCTTGATCTTGTTGCAACTGTCGCAATCCATGGGAAACTTTTTGCCTTCTTCGTCAAACCAACTCCCTTCCATGTGATGGGTGAACCGAATTGTGAAATACTCGACAGAAATCGCCTTGCCAAATAGATKTTGGTAGTTTCGATACAACTCAAGATTTTGTGCCACTGGAGCATGGGTTTTAGGAGATTGCTTTAAAATACGGTTTAGCTCGTCCATATTACAATCTCCGGATTTGATTAATCAGCGTTTTGAACAAATTCTCAATATTACTTTCAAGTCAGAGCGCAGAGTGACTATAACAGCCCAGATTGAAGTAATAAATAAACGCTTAGGCGAAACAATAGAGAACAAAAGGACTATTGTTCGGGGATTAAGTGAAAGGCACACAAAAATGAATATGTAATAGCCCACAAAWATATTGAATATATTAACCCACAAATATTCATGAGCACACAGATTTTTTCCACAAATCCCACAAAAAATCCGGGCCCAACTATGCAGCTAATACTATGTCAATCTGAATTCTATTCATTGCAGCATAAATATTCAACCGTTTAAATGTAAATGATAGAAAAGCTTACATTGTAAGTGCTGTTTTATAACTCTCTCTCTCTTTTGTTTGGGAGAACAATAGGTTACGTCATTAGTGTGAATAAATTAACTACCTCCTCAAAAAATACTGAATATAATTATTTTCTCCTCACATTTTTACCCTCCTCAAAATAAGTATGATTTGTTGGTGCAGCCTTTACTACTTTTACCAACCTAAAAGAACAAAATTACTGTCATCCTGAATCATGTTAATACCATGAAGGACCAAGAACGAGAATATCTTCACAGCCTGAAAAAMAATTTCATAAACTTTCTTGTAATATATAAAATAAACGAGCTTTTGATAAGGAAATCATCATCAAATGACAAAAATGGAAAATACCGTGTAGAAATATACTGATTACTTTTCAACTTGTTCTCTCATTTTTCAAATAATATATCGTTTTACATTGAGTCAATAATTATGCTTTTCTTCTTCTTTACTTATACAAATAAATACTTCCTTTGTTTATAGTCATCCCACCTTGCCCAATGGGCTCATAAAAGATGGCTCAGATAAAAATAGTACTTACAGTTTTGAGCAATGGCCCAGATATACCATGCTCTAATCTTATTTGAATTAATGAAACATCTGGATACAAGGAGCCAATAAATACACATGGACCAACAAGAACTGCCACAGGCTTATGGACAACATACTTGCCATAAACAAAGTAAATGTTAGAAACACCATGCCAAATCATCATGAACATATAGCATAACGTATTTACTCGAATAGATGCCGCGGCGTTTATTTTATTTTTCACGATCCAGCTGCGGAGTTTATTCGAGGGCGGCGTCTATTCGGGGGCGGCGTTTATTAAAAAAAAACACTTTATTCATTACTGCATAACGTACTTTATATTGTATTTTTTTACTAACAAACAGTAACAAATCTCAATATATAAATGTCGTGTTCATTTTGTCTATTCAATCTATGGTTTTAGGGCGGAGCTAAAGTTCTATTTCAACATCAATGTCGGAATCAAACAGCTGCTGAGAGCAAATATGTGTAGTATAATAATGGTATCATTATTTCCTCAAATTGACGCCGCACCCAGATGCGGCGTCTATTCGGGGGCGGCGTTTATTAATATTTTGAGATTTAAGTGCGGCGTCTATTTGAGGGCGGCGTCAATTCGGGGGCGGCGTCTATTCGAGTAAATACGGTACTAGTCTAAGAGTACATGGAGTGAACAGATTAAAATGTAATAGGCATCATATTAAGTTAATTCCATATTTCACAAACTCAGATAATTCTGAATACGTTTTGCCCTGCAGTTGTTCCCCCTTACAATTTTGACTGGATTCTCCATTGGAGATGCTAAAACACTGGACAATAAAAGGTCAGTGTTAGAGACATTATAGTTCATGCAGTATCTAAGACAGTCAGAATTGGAAACTAAACACACGGGAATCATGCATTGAAAATATTCCTTCTGGCATAGAGATGAATCAATATTAAGAAAGAAATGACTTTTCACTCTTACTTGATTTTCATTAAATTCTGGATAAGAAAAAGAGCATTTTGCTATCACCAAAAGAAATTTCTCCAAAGCTTTTGGACTGACAGCTTTAAGTATAAAATGAAGACCCCACCATGGAGGACTATCCTGTGTTCTTGACACATGAGCTCCAGTTTTATGCACTGCACCACCTTAAAGAAAGAATGTAAACTACTGTGAGTGCTATAACTGTATCTTTGTTAGCATTCCAGGTCAGAAATAGCAATAGTTTTGATCATGGGACCATCATGAATTTTTCTTACTAAGAATTTTATCCAAAACTGAGTCTTCATCTTCTTTGAACATATGAAACCTATGAATTCAAAAATAGTCTTTCAAACATTAATCAGAAAGTTCTTGTGACCAGTTGGTCAGCCATACAGTAAATAGTTTAGTACTGACAATTTATAGTAACAAAGCATGTTTAAAATAAGCATTAAAATTATTTATATCAAGACTGAATAAGTGAACTAAATGTATTGCATTCAATCTTTAAAATATTCAATTCAAAAAGAAGGCAATTCATTTAACAATATTGAGTCAATACATTTTAAATTGAAAAATTTCAAAAATATACTTTCTGTAAATTTACATTTTCATGGTGGTTACATAGCCTTAGATTGTGTTTATTATAAGGAGCCAATCATTTGTAAGAATTAGGGGAAAAATTTCAAAATATAAAATCATAATAATATGCATATAAATTAGCAACTCATTAAACACAAGTATATTATTAAGCTCAATTCCAACATGCGAGCTGATTTAGTGGATTTCACAAGAAAGGCTAATAATGGTTTATTTTGCCAGTAAACCGGCCTGCTGTCTTGAAAGACTTTTGCGAGTCTAAACGGCAGACACCAGCCAAAATTTTCTGCTATAATATAGCAATAAGCGATAGCTTGAAGTGGTTTATTGGCAAAATAAACCACTTGGGATGGTTGGGAGAACATTCGAAAGGGTAAATCACTCGCCTGACAGCCCGGGGGGGGGACTCCCTAATATCAAAGGGCGGGGGTCCTCGGCGGAGATTGTGAAAATGACCCCTAAAAGGGACCTCTATTGTGAGATGATGGGCGTGGCAGTGCTGAAATTTCAACCCTAAAAGGGACCAATCAATAACAGGTCATTTTGTTTTGGTTTACCGATTTTATTTGTGTTTTACACAATCATCGAACACCGTCGGCTCGTATTGAGTTTATGACGACGTTGTCATTTTATGACTGCTTAGGGTCGCCGTATACCCTAAAAGGGACCACAAAACACAGTTGGTAGGAATTCTTGTCATGATCACCCTAAGCGGGACCAAAATACTGATTTCAAACCCTAAAAGGGACGCTGAGGACCCCCGCCCTTTGATATTAGGGAGTCCCCCACCGGTCCTGACAGCTTGTGATTTACAGACTGATCTTTTTTCTCGTGTTCTCCCAACCACTTCAAGCTATCATTTATTGCTTATATAATAATTAAAAAACTATTGTAGCCACAGGTGAGATTTACATATTAATTTCATGTCCATGTTTGCTTAGGTTATATATCATCATGGTTGCTTTACATTTGACCTGAATTAGCATCATTTTATGATGATGATGATCATTTTACAAACTGTAATTTGTTAAGTTAAGGCAACAATTCATTGAATCATTTATTACAAAGAGCATTTAGCTATATTTGGGTGCTTTTGTTCCAGTTATTTTCACTACAAATAGGTGAATCAATCGGTTTCTCAAGCACATGATCTTTCAATTGATTGTAATTTCACTTAATATTATCGTGACAGTACTTTACCTCCCATTTGTAGTATTTAGTAAGTGTTTTATCAAGAAATTAAAATAAAAAATTTCTTGAAGAGTGAACTTGGTTGCACTACCTTTCTGCATGTCGCCTTGCATACCATGCAAGGGTGGGGTAAGGATTATATGGCAATTCTTCCAGTCCACTAATTAGCAATACCCAAGAATTTAAAACTTGCAAAAGTTTTGTGTCCTCTAGATACTGGTTCAAAACTTTGTGGCGACTTCCAGCTAATTCATCAATTTTTCCAGTTGTTGAGATCAAAGAAACAGAGCTACCATCACAGAAAAAAAGAAAATCAATCATTAAAAATGACTGAATATAGTACAATACTTCCTATATTTTATGCATACAGAAGTAAATTGCTATAAGCAGCCATATTGTGAAAGACTTCCACTCAGCTACAGTATGAATATGAATTTTTGTAAACCGCATCAGAGGATGATGGATATATTGCACTATATAAACAGTTTTTTGATTGATTAAATTAATTGCTCTCATTAATACAACAAAATATTGTTATACATACTGCAGTGAATTTGAACTTTGGACAGCTTCATGATGATGGCTTAACTTTGGGCTTTGCTTCAAGAGAATTGCAAATAATTATAATTTAAAAACTCTATTAAATAATAATCTTTGAATACCACTGGTTACATCATTGTAAGATCAGAATAATGGTTTTGAACTTTTGCAATACTTTCCATTTGCATTCCTAGCTTTGAGGAAAAGACATAATGAACAATACAGTAATTACCCGCTTATAATTATAAAGATCCCATTTTTTCAAATTTAACCTAAACGGGTTCTTATTTATATAAATGGTGCTTAGTGGATTTTTAGGGTTCTTATTTATCCCTTATGTTACTAATGAAAATTTACAAGGTTTTAAACATTATTTATACCAAATTTAGAAATGTATGATTTGTGTTTTGTTTTTTTTTTTGCATGAAGAACTCTTTCGGTTAATTTCTATAAGAACCTAGTATCTATAAGAACCTGTTTCAAATTTTAGGCTAAATAGGCTCTTAAATACAGAGAAATAGACCATACGCTACTGTGGTAGTTGTTTTAATTTCGCTCAGGCTTCGCTGGACACCAACATCATCAGGATCATCAGCATCATTGTCTCCTGATGATTCTGGTGTCCAGCGAAAGCTTGAGCGAAACTAAAACAACTACCAACAGTAGCATATGGTTTATTTCTCTGTATACTAACAGTCCTAACACGTCAAAACATGTAATTGCTACTGAAGGACAACTTCACTATTTTCATAAAAATGGGGTTTCTTTTCATATTTTTAGGCTAACAGGTTCTTATAAGAGGGCAGATACTGTTTATGGAGCAACTTACTGATGCATTACTGATGCAGCACAATAAAATAATTATTAATAGAGTCACATGACATGTGGGGTGCTTTCCATTTAAACAGAATCAAGCCGCCAATGGCAACACAACTCGAAGATTGATTGTGTAGACGAATAAAGAACGATATGATGAATCAAATTATTATTACTTGACAGATAGAATTTTGAGTATCTGATTTATGAATATAGTTTTTTTTCGTTATATGTTATTAATTTAACTTCGGTTCTGGATAGCGCCAGCGATCGAGATAAATCCCAGTCTTGCCAAAACTATGTAAAATCACAGCAAGTGTCAAAAAACAATAATAACAATCCCCATGCCAAGTAAAGACAACTGCTCGATATCTCGGGAGTTCAATTAAAGCAAACAATAGAAATAGAAATAATCTTTAAAATTTGATCATCAAAGAGTTTGTAAGCTTAAACGTATCAATGATTGAAAAGGTCAATAGACGAAATAAGTTTCATTGAAAGCTTGGTTGTATTTTTTTTTAACAAAATTCTTGTTTGACACACTACAATGTAGTGTGTCAAACAAGAATTTTGTTAAAAAAAAAGTTTACATGTACCATGAACCAGTGAAATAGTATCCGGTTTAACAAGGCAAAATTCCTAAAATATCTGAGTCTGTCGGAGAGAGAAATTTGTGTTTTTGGTACATTTTTGTCATTAGAATGTAAATCATAAGTGTGCTGGTCACTTTAGTAATTAAACAAGATAACAAAGAAACTGTCAAAGTAAGTACGCAAAAAGATTTTTCATAAGTATCTATAGACAACAGATGTTTGCAGATTAGTATTCATATTCTTTTAAGCACATGTTTTAAAGTAGTTCAGAAGTGTTTGGACCTCTATGTGTAAGGAGTACATGCAAGAAAGACTACAGCCTCTTTGATTGCTAGCCACGTAGAACTGAAAAATTATTATCATTGTTTCATTTTGATATTAACTTGGGTTCTCGATAAGCACAGGCCAGCACCTCCGTACAATCATTTTCGAAACGGATTGGAGCATCGTCCAGTCTTCTTTGCTTTCTTCGACCTTTGTGACTTTGTGACGGTATGTCAAATCAAATTATAATTACTTTTCAAATAGAATTTTACATGATTTTATGAATACAGTTTTCTTTTTCATTACAATCTAATTATTTTTAACTTTGATTTTTGACAACCAGGACCGAGCACCTGCAGTTAAAAGACAACAAGTCTAACCACAATTATGTAACATTGGTACGCGTGGCCGAATGGAAGTGATTTCGATTTCTAAATGAGAGGTCTGAGATTTGAGACTCAGAGGAGAAGACATTTCTTTAGATCTTTCTTTACCAAAAAATAAATGAATAAATAATCAAATGTAGAACAGGGAAACCGGTAACGGTAAATTGATGAATAAATTACTAGAAAACAATGAGAATAAATTAATAGTTCTTAATAGTCCTGAAGTAACGCAGGCTCAAGTTTACAGGAAAGTGAGTGACTGAGTGAGGGAGTGATTGAGTGAGTGACAGACTCGTCCCCCTCCAATAACTCTTCGATTGCTTCGCAATCTTCGAGTTAAAAACAGACAGTCTATTTAGAAAATTAATTTAATTAATTATAATATGATCCGCTCATTAATCCTAAACAGGTACCTGTCCAATTATTTTCTTATTTGACAGCTAGGAAAACTAATTTATACTAGGTAATTGAACTCCACACAGTCCAATTATGAAATAATTTAAAAAAATTTCTGCGAATGGCATATTGGACTTGAACTTGAATTTCTGCATTCCTCAGAATATTCCTTATCCAAAATTACTTTTTAATTGGACAGCATGGAGTCCTATAAAAACAATGTTGTACCCAGCAGACCTGTACTAACTGTGCAAACTTTGGGTACTCCCCCCAAAATTGGGTGGTGGTCATCAAAACCCTGATTCTGTTCCAGAGTGAAATTGCTGAAAACTATACCCTGTTCCAGAGTAAAATCGCTGAAAACGATATATCCAGTTCCAGAGAAAATCCAGCACTAGCCTGCGTGTAGACCGAATTTTTACCCCGTGAATTTTTACCCAGCATCAATAATTCCGGAATTAAACCCTGACCCTGTTCCAGAGAAAATTCGTTGAAATCGATACCCTGTTCCAGAGTAAAATCGCAAAAAACGATACCCAGTTCCAGAGTAGAATCGCTGAAAACGATACCCTGGTTGGCGGCACGTCCCCGTATAGCGAATACAGGGGAGAACCCGGGATGTGCAGAAGAAACCAGATCTAACTGCTTTGATTTGACTGATTTTACTCAAGAGAATTGGCTTAACGAAACTGTTCGAAACCAGAAAAGGGATAAACTTTAAATGATAAATCTATATTTTTCAGAGCTATTGGATATCTATTGGCCATTCCGATATTCAAAGGAGACTGGGATGTCTAAAACTGAACCTCACCACATGAAAGACCACACTAAAATAGGGGTTCTTGTCAAGTTTGAGGATATTTTGTGGAATACTAACCAAGTAGGAATTTTTTCACATTTGAAAAAATAAGAGAGAATGTATGGTTTTTGGGGAGGCTGCTCAAAACCTCCATACATTCTTTGTAATTTTTTGAGTTTTAAACGCTTGAAACTCTGTAATTTTTAATCTGAATATTCTCAAACTCCGCAGCTTTACTAATTTTAGTTTTGCTCTTTCTTGTCCTGGTGTCTGCTTTTTGATTGCTTCAAACGGTATCGAGTTTGTGACTAGTCACCAGTCCCTTTTTGAATTTATGATCAGGTCTTAGCAGATCTTAGAAGGGGAGGGGGGCCTCCCCTATATTTGCTATACAGGTAAGTGCTGGTCTTTTAATCTTTAGATTAAAAATGATTTAAGCTAGTAAGAATTATTGTTGTACTCATGCTTATTAAGCTTAGCAGGCAGAGGCTTGGTTTTTGGTGTTACTTATGGTGGCAAGAGAGAATTTATAATCAAGCTTAACTTAATACTTAATTACTCAACTGTCAAAAACCGATCCTGATATCTTCGATGATCAATTTCAACATGTTCAAAAAATATTAAACGTGCAGATATGATTGACAAAAATTTCGTTTTAAAATTAACCCCACCTGAGAATAGTGCTTGTTCCTATAGTTTTTGTATTAAAATAACAACCACCACAACGACCCAACGGCCACAAACTAACTCGCTAAATACAATTGAAAATTCTGAAAATTGAAGCTTACATTATTAGTCTTCTCGGGAAATTTGGGCCTCGACGACATTTTTTGGAAGTCAGGAGATACAATGGACATTGTGTATGGAAGACAATCCTTCAGTTTTGTTTAGTCCACAAACTTGGTTATTTGAGAGCACAATTCTTGCTAGTACGCAGGCTTTTCTCAGACCTGTATTGGAACGCCGTGCAGAAAATGTGCCACACTGATTTTGTGCAATGTACTGAAACTCTTTCACGTGACTGGTAATATTGCAGTTTTGCATAGACGGCAATTAATTGAATTTTTTTTGCTGTAAAGTAGTGATTTCATTTTCTACTGGCACTAGCAGTGAAGTTGTTTCCAGGTACTACTGGGCTCGACGGCTCGAAACAAAATGGCGGGAATATCGACCGCTATTGTTCGACCGATGATTACGATAAATGCCAGTGAGCTTGCAAGTGTAATGGCTCGTCATCAATACCAACCAAGACAAAAAACCATGCTTAAAGTTTGGCAGAGAACTGACCAACGAACATTTTGCATTGCTAACGCTCTAGAATATAAAAGCAACATTTCAGCGGTTATTCGTCATTACTATGAAACTGCTGATGTTCAAGCGACGAAAACAAAGGACACTCTGCTAAACGGTCTTGTTGACAAATGGGACCAGAATGAACAGAGTTTTATTCAAGTAATGAAGGTTATATTTCCCGAGAATGGATCAAACGATCATTTTGAGAAGCTACGTTTCGAAATCCTGAAAGAATTGAAATACCTTACTTACTGCCGTGAAGAAAGAGTCTTGTACGAATCCCAAATTCGAAGCAATGATTTCCTTCAAGAACTTCAGAAGCTGTGCAAAGATGAAAATAGACCAGTTTCCGAGTCAGCAAAAGAGATTTGTGAGAAACAAGGAATAAACAGTGATGAAGTCATTAAAGCAGTTGAATCAAAACTCACAAAGGACAGAGGTACGAAACTTGAAAGCAAAACTATTGATGCCTTTGGTAAGGACAAAGAGATCGATTACTTTAAAGCAGAAGATACTATTGAGTTGAAATTCATGAATTGCGGAGGGGTGGAATGGGTCCTTCAAGGACGTGCAGATGCCTTAGTGGAAGATGAAGTGATTGAGGTTAAGAACAGGACAAATCGATTCATGCAGCCCATTTATGATTTAATCCAATTACAAGCTTACCTTTTCTTATATAACAAAGAAAAAGGGGTTCTATTAGAAAGATTGAAAGGAGAAAACAAAGAATCCAAATTTGAATTTAAAGAAGGATTTTGGATTGATGATGCAATACCAGCAATGAAGGATTTTGTGGAAGAACTACAGAATTTGATTGAGAAGAGCAAAAATCAGTTCTCTGAGGATCGATCCCATACCTCCCCCTGCAAAAGGCACTTTGAAAAATATGACAACTCTCCCATTAACAAAAAACCCTGCTCTGAATAGTAAGAATAAGCAACAAATTACCGATTTTAATATGAAATATTGTATATGATAATTAACATATTATTCATAAGCAAACACAAGGGCAGAGACAAGAATAACAATCAAGAAAACTACTAACAACTTTTCAGGCTGCTGGTAGATACCACTGTTTATCACATGAAAATACTGGAGGAGTTGACTTGTGATCTTTTTGAAAGACTTTTTTGGAAGTGATCTGGTACTTTGTGGTATAGTGAATTGCACAATTGTATAGAATATTAAGTCACAAGTGTGTACAATGAATATTTATTTTTGCTGATGCTCTTGTAGAGTTATTGCACTTAAACTGTGCAAGTATACAAAATCTAAGTAATACTAATTTGTACTAAAAGTGGATCTGAAGCAAGACAGTATTGAATGCGTCCTGTCTTTATTTTAGTTCACTATAGAAATGCGCCCTGTGCCTTTATCTTACAACCATTATTGGTCTTTATCTTATCATTCTTGACATTCATCTCTCAACCATGATGTTTATGTTTGAAATGATTAAGTAATGCAAAATACAGTCAACTCTCTCGTAAGCGACTCAGGAAAAAGTGGTTGCTTATGAGAGATGGTTGCTTACGAGAGTGTTTTATTTACAGAGTTTATATGGGAAACAATTATAACAGGAAATTTAAAAGGTTGTTGCATACAGGATATGGTCGCTTATGAGAGTGGTCGTTCAAAGAGTCAACTGGAGAGTACTAAAGTGCTGACATCACAAAATAACATCTTTAGTTTTGAAATTTGCCCATATTCTGAAAGTGCATAAATGTTAATGCATCTTGCTAAATATGAGTGTCTTAGCGCCATTTATAGCGGAGATACAAGCAATTTTATGGTCAGGTGACCACATACAAATGAGAAGGGACAGCACAAAAGGGGGTTAAAGAATTAAGACCCTTTTGATGCAGCGAGTGAATTAATTGCGTCTTTTGGAAGACTGGATTTTCCCACTAGAGACAAGGCCCCTTTTGTGATGTACCCTCTCATCTTGGCCTGAGCCTAGCCAATGCACAGCACGCAAGACGCAAATCAACTGATGCTACGCAGATGCACAACAACGCCCATTGACTGTCATGCACCTGGACAATAGACCAGAACACAACGCCCAAAGTTTCCTTTTTTCTTGATAAGAAAAAGCTGAAATTACTGATAAAAAAAGCTGACGATTGATGACCTTTGTTTTAGCAGTGAAAGCAATGGATTGTGGGTGGATAACATCAATATCAGCTCTGACCTTTCCATATGTTTGTGTATGATGGAAACTCCATATCTTTTGAATTAGGATATCACTGCCATACTTAGCACGCTTCAGGTGCGCTACGTGGCGGCAGCAATAAATCCTATAATTGTTAACTGGATCATTTTTTGCATGTCATTGGCCCGAAGGGTCAAGAGCTTAGGATTGCAAATGGCTTTCCAAAGTACAGAAAATGACATCAAACACACAAGCAAAGACCATTATATAGTTTGAATTTTTTTTTAGAATTTTTTTTATAAGAAATTTATGACTTTCTAGGTGTTCGGCTGTGCATTCGGACTACCATTGGATTGAATAAATCAGCCAGCTTACGTGAAGTACTAACCTAACTGCGAGGTTCATGGATCGAAAATGTGAGTACTAAATTTTCTTTATTTACACATTAAGCATGTAGTGAAAGAGGGATATAGCAGATCCGATTTAGCTATTCAACTAAAAGACATTGGTCTGAGCATTAAATAAACTGAATATAGATCAATGTAAATTTTTACTGTTTAATATAGCAACTTTAACTCTAAAGACATGTAAAGCAAAGTGTTCAAGTTTACATACACTGGCACACAATGCCCATGACTGAAAAGGGAAATTTCAATGAATAAGTTGAAAAATCTACATATTATCAAAAATGTTTTCAAAAAAAGTGCTCAACTTTGTCAAAGTGGATTGTAAAACAATGAATCATACAAGTCAGGCTGATAGACTTTTAAATTGGTGGTTCCAAAAAATCAATAAAAACAACTTTACTAATAACTTAATATAAAAGGTGTAATTATTCAATACTTTTACTTAGTTATACTTTAAGTTGAATGATTGAATCAAATGATCATGGAAATTTACAAGAACTGTTGCGAGCTAGTGAACATGATACATTTTTTTATAAAAAAATGATTGATCAAGTGTTAAATTAAATTAAGGAAAGAATACTTCTAGTAATTAATAAATTATAATGAGATTATTGTAGATTGATTGTAAATAATATGCATGTGCTGTAGGATTTTTCTATTTAATTTCTAAACAGGAAACATGACTTTCCCATTGAATAACTTATTCACCAGAGAAGATAATGTTCTGTCTTAAATACTTGGAAAGTTTAGTTGGATAGTCGGTCATTACACCAGCCACTTTTAGTTCATCAAATGCAAGTTCAAATTCATCTTCATCATTTAGCACCCAAAGGTAAGTCTGAAATAAAGTAAATAATATTGAGGACAATCAAAGTTAAATAATATATCAAATTGTTTTTTAACCTCTGTAAAGTAAGTATTCCTTAAAGTACACATGACACCTTTTAGAAAATCATTTTTTAAGGTAACAGGCTGCCAAGCACTTTGTGAAGAAAGAAATAATTATAGATTTTGAATTGTATCTGAGACATTTGAAAATTGAAAATGCAAATGAGGTGAACATTTGAAAATTGAAAATGCAAATGAGGTGATGATGTCAACTATTAAGGAATTGGTCCAGACTTTTTACATTGTTTGTGATATGTTGTTCTTGGTTGAAGATCTCAAATCATCTGCAATCACAGTAATAAGTGAGAGCTGAAAATACTTTTTTCCAATGAAACAAAAATAATAAAATGTCCTCTTTCATGATTTTGTATATTACTGTAAATCATTCCTTTAATTAGTAGACGTCACATTTTCTAAGTTCCAATTGTCCATAACAATTTAAAATCAATTTCTTTCTTCACAGATGTACTATGTAGAATTTTCTCTTTTGGATGAGAATGAATTTCTAATGGTGTCATGTGCACTTTAAGTATTCCGTTCATTTACCTACATGTCCTTTTCAATTAGTCACATCTTTAGTTAGCTTCCATTTTGTAATTTCCCATAATTCAGCCCTTTGGCTAGAATTAAGGTGCCTGCCATTCTGCCTGCCTACCCACCTCTCTATCTAAAGCTGTATAAAACCCTAGTAAAATTCATGAACATATGACATGGCAATTTATAATAAAATTAAATATTTACCTGGATGCCTCTTTTTTCAAGGTGTTTAAACAGACTTGGTCGGATTAGTAGCCTTATTTGTATGAAAGTAAAGAAATTTATAAACTTTAGGTCTCACTTTTTGACAACGTTGGTAATAATAATACAGAAGAAGAAATAAAGTTCAAATTAGCGAAAATCATTCTTTTCTTTTAACTGATTATAGAGAGCACATGTAATCATGGTGTCAGTACAGAGTCTGTCTTCTTATTGATATGTAGCCTGCGTAACGGCCCTTAAGGGATTGGGAAGGGCTGAGCGGAAAATGGGGAGGAGAAAAAGGAAGGGCCTGCAAGAGAACCCCACAGTTTTACAAAATGCCCCCTAATTAATAATTCAAAATCCTGCAAAATCTAACTTGACAGTTTTCAGAATAAACCTATCACAAAGCACTGTCAGGTCACGAGGTCAAGAGTTTCAGTTTATTTACTGTATTCGCGGATCTTTGAAGATAACATCTGTTTCCCTTGTGCTAGAAAGGCAAATATATTTTGTAAATTCTACAAAGTTCTATTATAAAAGATTCTCTTAAACGAAAATTCTTAACACCAACAGGAAAAAGTCCAGGCTAAAGTCCAGGCCAAAACTTGTCGCTGTTCTTCCTTGATTATTATAATGTTGAAAGTGTTACTTTTCTTTTAAATCACTTAAGAAAAGCTATAATCCTACTTCATCGCCCATATTATTGGTAAATACGCCAACTTGATCTGGTACCTATCACTTTGACATTTGATTAACAGCTTGTTCCTCTCGACCAATGGGGAATTTACGTCCATATTCCACTGTAGATTTTTTAAAACTGTGGGGTTCTGTTGCAGGCCCTTCCAATTTTTCCTCCACTCCCCGCTCGGCCAGCCCTCCCCAATCCCCTTAGAGCCGCTACTCAGGCTAATTGACTCATCACTGATCAGTCACATGAGAACTCAATGTTCTAGTAGCAAATCCCACTTCCCTTAAATTTCTATTAGAATTTTAGATTTAAAAATGGTAAATAACAGAAATCAGAACAGACATCAAGCTAGACCTAGCCCTTGGTGGCCCAAAGATCACTCCCTTTTACAGCTAGTATTTCAAAAAAGACTGTCTGGGAGAATGGTGAACGGCGATTGTTGAAGGGAGATTGCACAGCCGAAAGGGAAGATGGTTACACTGTTTTGATAAACAAAATTTTACTTATTGGATTCACATTACAATCAAATGGAGATTAAATGGAGCCAGTGTTTACTATAGACTATCTTACAGTACAAATCAGTTGTTATTGCCTTTCAACTAGAAAAACCCATGGCTACATTCAGTCATGCAATCGCCGTTCAATCATTGACATTTGCCATTTTATCCAACAACCTTTTCTGAAATAGCTATATAACTATTATAATACCATATCCTAAAGATTGACTCATTATCCTCGTTGCTTGCAAACATAATGGGTTTTAGAAGATAAATATTTCATGTGCAAAAAACTGTAAACAGTATATCAATTAACCTTACCAGTCAGCAATGTAGCAAATCATCCTAAGTTTTCCTGACACCTCAAACCGCCTATCAAATAGAAAGCTAGGATTAATTTGATTCAAGTCATATAATCCCATCTTTTAAAAACGTTTTAAAAGGCCTATAGTCTACATTTACTACACTGGAAATTTTAGTATCTTCAAATTTTTAACAACACATATTAGCCATCATGGTTGTAAATTAAGTCATTGCTCTTCCCCACATCCTGTGTATCAATGGTGGTATGTTAACGTATATTAAGTGACCCCTTATTTTTTATTGAGAGTTATTTATTTAGAGAAATTCAAAATAATTTTAACTAATAAAAATATTATGAAAAAAAACCAACATGATGGAGAATTTTAAGTCAGAGCAGTTTAACCCCAGCCTATAATATGTGACATCAAAACACATAGACTGAAGTGTCGATCATAATCCTCTATAAAATTTTCTTACTTGCTTACCTTAACATAACCTTTGGAAGCATAACTTCAAGATATGACTCCTTGATGGGTATAAATGGTAAAAGTCCAGTGTAGTAAAGTAAAAGAAGGACCCCACATCTATGTAATGAAAAAATCAGAGGAATGTTGGAGTTCTGAAACAAATGATATGCACGAGTCAGTACCTTGGCTTGCCTGAAAGATTTCGTACACAATAAAAAATTACATTGGATCGAGATTGATTTTTACTTTATTAGCTTTGTCCTGAAAGATACACGAACTGGATAATAAATAGAATGACAAAAAAAAACGAGTCCGAGGAAGGATAACATCGTAAAATCCAAAATTTGKATTATAAACGAGACGTTGTTCAACAATATTTCGGTTTAATTCAGAACCATAATCATGTTAATTATTTTACAATTTTSCMATCSTATTTAAAACAAGTTTAATTCTCTAGAGGCTTTCAAGCCGAGTGACAACTGGTCCCGGTTGGAATTCCTCGAGGCCTATTACATCAAGAATTTACGCCCGGGAATTAACGACGGCTGATGATTATGGTTCTGAATTAAACCGAAATATTGTTGAACAACGTCTCGTTTATAATCCAAATTTTGGATTTTACGATGTTATCCTTCCTCAGACTCGTTTTTGTCATTCTATATGTCAAACTGTCAGATCGTAATGGATTTTGGATAATAAAACTAAGTTATAATTTATACTGATCAATTACTTAAGTTTGCCCAACCAAACAAGGAAAGGCATATAAACTCAACCAAATAGGCTGAAACTTCTCCAGGGGATTGTTGCATACATCAATAGCAGGATGTAAGAGTTTTGTGTGATTTTGCTGCAATCCAAGTGAGAAATTCACAATTCAATAACATTACAGAAAATTGTAAAAAAAACAATGGCAAAATATAAAGTTGAGGGGTGGTTACCTAATAACCACTGATTAAAAGAGCCTGTGCTCCCTGTGTTTATTGCAAGAGGGTGTATAGTAGTAACCTTAAAGAACAGATTTCAAGTGCTCGATGGTAACATTATCTTGGTCTAGTCTAGTGACGAGTAGGTTCCAGATTCACTCTGGCATGCACTACAGGAACACAACAGATGGATCTTTAAGTAGATCATATTATGCATAGCCTTGAAAAAGTATACTACAATGTAGATCAAGTAACTCGTGCCAGTAGCAAACAGGAAGTAGATTTACAGATACACACCCAAGTCTTTCTTTAATATATTAAGTAGAGATATTGGCTAAAAAAGTCAAGCGAAGAATGAATTTGATGGCACGTCTTTGGATATTTTCAAGTTTAGACATTTAGTTAAATACCTTGGGAAGCCCAGACCTGGGTTGTGTAGCCCAGATGATTACATACTAGCCAAGGTGTAATGTGGGCCTTACAAAAGTACTGTTTATAATAAACCTAGATAATTATAATAATTCCTCCTAAAGTAACCTAACTTGTGGGGGCAGCTTGATGACAGACTTGTGTGTATTTAATTTTTATACAGTCAATCCTATTAACAGTGTTCACTTTTAAACTTAGACATAAAGACATCAACAAAGACAATTTGTATAAAACAGTTTTTAAATTCCCAGAGACTTTATAGTGAATTAAATGTTGTAAAGAAGTTTGGCATTTCATAAGTTGTTTACAGAAAAAAATCTAAAATTGAATAAAAGTTAAGGTACAAGTTGTATACTTACATGCCTGTGGCACCTTTCTGTGATGTGACTATTAACATTTCCCCAGGCACATAGATGCTCTCTTTCATACTTGCAGATCAACTCATTAGTCTAAAATTGCACAATGCATATTCACTTTACTCAGTAATTTAAAATGGATTTAAAACATCTGACCATTCTAAAAAAATCTACTATTTTTTAAAATAAGGCACTTCGTATGGCACATTTATAAAAATATGTAATAATAACTGGTCAGGAGTATTCCAATTATGTTGGATATTAGTTGTTTTTTTCTGTTTGTTTTTTTTTTTTTTGCTCTCAGCCCAGTGATGTGCAAAGTTTTTTTTTTGACAGAATGTGCTGGAAATTCTTTGAAATATAGTTCACTGACAATACAATAACTAAATAAGAGGGTAGCACTTCACGGTTTTGCAAAGATCTTATCTGATTGGTTTATTAGCTATTTTTTAATATAAGAAGACAGGACTTAAGAACGAGGAAACAATGAGCATTGTTTTATTCCTTCAATCACAAGACACCCCTTGTGAAGGGTAAAAGAAATAAGAGCATGACTTTCCTACAAATTTAAATGCATGCATTCTTTGGTGTCAATGATGCTGGCCAAACCTTCTGGGCTTATGATGGACAACAACCCCCAGCCTACAAGGCTTTGTTTATTAGCATCCATCAAATTATGGACCACAAATCTACTAAATCTGATTGGCTACTGAACTACACTATCACTTTTTTAAAACTAAGTACTAAATTTAATGGGTCTTGTTCCATGCAGGCCTCATATGGTATTAAAATATATTTGTTACCTGGACAAATTCTACAAAATGTATTGCGTTTAGGTAGCATTTTGCAAAACCTTTATTAATACTAAGCACTAAATTTATTAAATGTCACTTTACCTTCTCAATTAGTTCATCAGAATCATACTTGATATCAATATTGATTGGTATGTCTGGAAATGCTTCAAATACAGTAGACAACAGTGGAATATCCCTATCATTGTTGTCAGGGTGACTTATTGCTCCTACACAACAATGATAATATATAATTCTAATTAGAAATGTTATCTAGATGAGATTTGAACAGAAGAAAAATCTACCTGGATGAAACTGGACAGGAATTTTTTCTAACAATGGTGGGAGATCCTAAAGGGCAATGACACTCAATTAATGATAGTCAGAATATCAAACATTTCATGTGTGATGGCATATCCGATGCATCAGTTCATCATACTTTGTTTTTTTCAACAATTGTTCTTATTAATGTTTGTATTCCTGATGTTTAATTATGTTGAATCTCCCATTGGATGCAATTCTCTCTTGAAGGGTTACTAACTTAGTGTGTTTATTCGTGTTCTTTAAAACAAGAACTTATCAGTTCTTGCTGCCCCCCAATATGTTATGTAGATAATAACCAATTTTACCTTATAATCAAGATCTGAGATGTTGCAATCTACTCCTGCAACCCTTGACAAGTTGTTGTCATGGCAAACTACAACTTGTTTATCAGCTGTAAGTTGTAGATCAATTTCTAGCATTTCTGTTCCCAATCTGACAGCACTATCAAAATAATCATTCATAATCATAAAATTACAGTTAGCATTAGTTATCAGGTAGCTCAGCCAATGTGGGACAGATCAGACATTGTTCCCAATCAGCAGGAGTAAATTCCAAGTCTGAGTTCATTCAGCATCAACTGAATCTATCAGACCTAGGGATATTCTTCTATAAGGAAGGGTAGTGAAAATGGCTTTACAGTTTATCATTATATTAGTACAGGTTCCTCCGAAGCAATCAGGGTAGCACAGGTGCATGGCCTAGTGGTTAAGCTACAGGCCTCTCACAGCTGTGGTCCAGTTCGATTCCCGGACAGGGACCATATACTGTATGAGTTTGAGTTTGTTTGATGTGTTGTTCTCTCCCTTGCCACAGGGGTTTTTCTCTGGGTCCTCCGGTTTTCCTCCCTCAGCAAAAATCAACATGTGAGGAGTGCTGTGTGCTAAAAATACTTTATGTAGAGGTAGTGAGTGCGAGTTGTTGATGGCCCAGTGGTAGATTAGTCTATGACTAAACTGGTTTACCATCATTAAAAAAAAAAGTTTATTTATTTAATCAACACTTTTAATAAATATATTTGTGAAATATGCCTGCCATCACGGTTCCCAGCTACAGGAAGCCCAATATTAGTACATGCAGTAAGTAAACTTTGCCATGTCTGACACTGCTACAATTGCTCCTAATGACTTACTGTTTAAATGCAGCTATGGTATTCTCTCTATTTTCTCCTGCTCCTGATATTAAAATAATAACGACAATTGTATTGGAATAGAGCAAACACAGGAAAACCATGAAATAAACAAACCAAGTACTATTAGTAACAAATAGCGGCTATTTAGACCCGCTTTACAGGATTCGAAATAATGGCCGGTCAAAGGACAATGTCCAGATGACCGGCCAAACCAGGTTTTGAAAGGACAAATTGACCTGCCCCTTTTTTAATATAATGGCTGTAAATTGCGTGTTATCGGATTTTTTCTTATTTTTTAACTGCATTTGGATCGACGTATGAATCAACTCCGTACTGAATGTATTCGGCGTGACGCCGGCTCGACGTATGAACCGGGCCCTATATAACGAGACAATTTGTCAGTATCACTATGATCCAGAAGATTAATGAAGATCATTGCGTTCTGGTTCATTGATCTGACAATTTGCCTCTAGATATTGTCGTTATTTGTCAATTTAAGCATGTGCACGATCAGCGTTTTAGCTATGGTTTCGACCCCAAGCGTTATACAGTTCAAAAAGAAACGATATGGAATTTGCATCGACCAAACTGATCTGACATATTTCTTGACCTCTTTACCTCCTCGGTGGCTGATATGCCGACATCTAAATTTAGTTTTCTTCTTGTTGTGAAGAATCTCAGGACAGCGGAAAAGAATAAAGGAACTCAGTACATATCCACCAAACAAAGGCAAAACTACTGGAAGGACATACTGATACATGTTGAAATACCACTGTTAGGACGTACCACGGCAAGACTTTACCTCAGGCAGCCTAACATTATTATACTTAATCTCTTAATATTATATAAGTGGTATAAGTTTTCATTTCTCTATTTTTATTTTCAAAGCCCAAAATATATTAAATACCTAAAGCATTCAAGTCAATAAGAAAACGAAACAGGACGAGGAATGAAGAGTGCAAAAAACAGGACGACGAATGCAGAAGAGTGTAAAAGAGCGAGCTTTTCTTGTATCAAGGTACGCGATTTTTAGGCAGCCCAACTATTTTAGTTTGCATATTTTTGTTTTACTAAGATCAGTTTGCGAACCATAATTTTTCGTCTCCTCTGTCAATCATCTTACAGTTCAGCGAATCAGATTCCTCGTAATCAGCATTAGCCCGTCACATTGAATCAATAGCCCGTTCAGAGACTGGTGACTAGTCACAAACTCGATACCTTTAAACAGACACAGGGACAACAAAGAGCATACTAAAATATTATTATAGTTACTGAGTTTGAGAGTATTCGGATTAATAATTACAGAATTTCAAGAATTTCAGAATTTCCTCATGTGTCACGAATTGAAAAGGAAAAATACAATACTCTCAAACTGAGCCAGTAAACTGCATAAGGCATCATTTGATGTTGTGGTCTAATTATTTTAGTATTACCATACTAGTTGGACAAAAGATAAATGAAATATACGTCGAGTAACAAAATTGTTTTATTGCTAAAACTTTGCGCTTACACGTTCAATTAAATTTGCATAAATTATTGCTGACTTCGTTTGACACGCTTGGCATGCTTAACAAGTGATAATTTTAAATTTACTACACGCTGGTGAAAGATGGTTTGAGTGGACATGCAAGCATAAAATGGTTCTTAACACATTGCTTTGACTTGCAATATTAAGAAAATCAAAGGTGCCAATTTTCACTAGTCGAGGACTATTGAAGATAGACCCAGAGTAGCATAGCCAATCAGAATGGTAATACTAAAAAATGTATATTCTGTTTATACCAATACCTGTTCTGCCTATCTAATCTGTTCAAATCAACCAAAGTCACAGCTTTTGTTCTATCCTTTTTTTTAAGCTTGTTCTGTCAACTGCTGGAATTCCTTTCTAATTTGATCACTAATTGAAGTATATTTCTCAAACTAAGCAGGATATGTCTAATTGCGTGTTCACGAGAATGAAATTCCTTTTCCACATCAAGTTTCTTGTCTTTTAATATAACATCAACTTTCAAGGAACACTCTTTGGCAACACTACCAAAGACAAAGAAACAACATAAATGTTATGACACTTATCATTATAGTCATCTATTTTCAAAAATCATTATTGACTACTTCGTGGCTATGGTTAGGACAGCAGTGAAGTAAAATTTGAACAATAATCAATGATTTTCATATAATTTAAATATTTTTGAATTTAATTTTTTTGAATTTTTGAATTTATTAGCTTTGCCCCTAGTATAGTATAAAATCAAGAAGGGCATTTCATACTTCTGACTTCCATATATTGTATTGTGCATATCCATGGTACTAATGCTCACATAGAAAGCTCTCATTTCTCTATTATGTGAAGAAGCACTTATAAAATTTTTGTGATATGAATTTTTTTTAAGGCACTAAGATTAAGCCAGGAGCTGAATTTGCTGGAGTGAACCTGAATTTTTGTTATAGCTGTGTTACAAAATGACAATTCTAAACTCTACTGTGCTGTGCTTTTGTCATAGTCTACCCATTTCCTCTATTTTGCAAAACCAATTCAAGGGGTCAGCAAAAAACTAATAAACTGTTCAACTTGCATAATTACCTGCTGAGTGTCTTCCTCCAGTTCAGTGAAAATTCACTCATTTGCTCTGAATAAAGAATTCACAGACATCACACAGAATACATGTATGTTTTTTCCATTTCAAAGCCTGATGACCACTGTTTTCAGAGACAACTCACGCAAAGCTAGTTATGGATTTGAATCTTCTCCAATTTGAGACTAAGCTTGTTTTCACAAAAGACATAATGTTTTAGACTTCTGGGAATACAGGCTTAAAGCATACAGATTGCAAATTTGTAGAGGTATTTTATGCACTTCACTTCTTAGTGGTATTTGTCTTTTCAATAGAGTTGTCAACCATAGGGAGGTCAATGCATTGTTAATGATGGGGGCCTATACACTTGTACAAAATTTCTGTTCATTATTAGCGATGTACTTACCATATGTTATGTGATCTAGTTCTTCATCTTCCTCGGTCTCAGATACAAGGCCATAATCATTAACTTCATTGTCGTTATCGTCATCCCCGTCGTCTTCTTCCATATATTCATCAAAAACATCATTTTTATCACCGTAATCATCACCATCTACATAATAGTCAACGCAATCACTTTCTTCGGGATCACTATCATCTCCATAGTTAATGCTGCTACCATCTGCTACACCAATGTCAATAGTAACATTTTTTTCACCAGACACATTTTCATTTTTGCTAAGTCCACGGCACAATCGTTTAGCCAACTTTGGTTTAGGCTTTTCCAACTGTTCTGTTTCTGCACCTTTTTTCCTTTTTCTTTCTTTGAAATTTAAAGCTCTGTTTAAAACTTCATAGCTTGATATTTTCTGCTCCTCATTGCATAGTTTAAAATGAGTTATTAGATCACATAGTTCATTTGGTATATCAATGTTTTCTTGGTTCACTATCAAGTGCAGCTCTGACTCRGAAAGATGTAGAAACTATTAACAAACAAAATAAATCAATAGTTAATAGTAATTGGCTAATACGCATTACTATCCCGTACCCACTGAGATCAAATTACTAATCTGCGTTCTGATTGGTTTATTCTCATTATCATCCCGTAGCTCGAAATACCTATGATTTTTAACGACTCTGATTGATTGATATGCGGGATGTATACCGCAAAGGTGACTTTATCTAAAAAGTACATTTTTAAATGTACAATTGTTAGTAAAAGTAAGCCATAATTCAAAGATTTCAAAATCAAAATAACTCACAAACTTCTCTTTTTTTAAAAAAAACAATTAAATGAATTTCCTTATACATAGTAGTATTGACATGTAGTTGGATGAATATACTATTGTATGGATTTATTGGGATTCATTGTTATGAATAAACAAAATCAAATAAACAAATGAATATGAACATAGACAAACCAAAAAACGATACTCAATCTTACCTTCAAAAAAAGAAGCAGATCAGTTCCTGATATTTGACATCCCTTCAGATCAAAAGGAAAACTGTCTTCACTAGTAACAAGACCCTGAAACAAGAATACTATACCTAAAAGCAACTAATAAAACAAAAAGGTATAATAATTGCACATACCAATTCTTCCATGAATTGAAATTTGGCATCAAGCAACCTGGCTTCATGTTTTGAAGTGACCTGCTTTTGCAAAACTCCATAAAACATGCCAACCGAAATCTCAATCTTTGAAAAAAAGGGAAAAGAATGCTAGTACTGAACAATCAAGTTGCATTAGGTCGAAATATAGTTAGTCTAAGATTATGTAATTGATTCAAGTAATAACATGATCATCTTTATTATTATTGGGCAACTCTCCCTCTAACTGCATGGTCTCTCTTTGTAATAATAAAGAAAATTGTGAAACTTTGTGACACTTTACCCACTGTAATACACAATAGTCCATAAAACTAATAATATACTTTGCATCTGATGACACAGAATCCAACATCCCACAAAATCAGTTTGGATCTGGGAATGCAGACACTTGAAATCAGGAAAGAAAATCAGATAAAACAAGAGGAATCCATAATCCAAATTAGTGAGTTCAAATGTTTCCAATTCACACACTTGTCACTATAAAAAAAAGCTACCTAGAAGGATGTTTTGCATTCTGAATCCCCTTTGCCCTTATCATACTTTTATAGATGTGACTTTATTAGGAGATTCCACCTTATAAAGTTTAGAATGAATGAATGCCTTGCTAATTGCACAGTATTGTGATATCAAAGTCATTTTACAAATGTGTGGCATCTGCCTTACATGTACAGCTTTATATATTAAGTGCAAAATTAAAGAGCAACTTGAAATATACTAGAACTTACAAAGTCATAAGGGTTTGGAGTTTTCTCTACAAATCCATAAGACTGTAAAAGATGGCAGTTGGCCAGTTGACCATATGTATTGAACACCTCTTGACCCTTTTGAAAAACAATCAGTTAATCATAACATTTCTTAGTGAAATCAAACCAGCTTAAATTAAAACAAACCTTAGTTATAGCCTGTGTTGATACCATCTTCAGTTCATCTTTAGCAAACTCCAAATGTGCATTGTTTTTGCTATGGTGATTTAGTATGTCAGCCATCGGAACCATGACAGGGGTACAGTTACCATGACAACCATTTTCTGTAAAGCTATAAGCCATCAAAAATGATGCCATGTGCTTGTAGAGATCCAAAGAATGTATGCTCAAGCTAAAAATTTAAATTATTTATGATTAATACTTTTATAATACTACCGTAGATGTTTTAAGTCGATCACTGCCTGCAGTTTTTTTGTAGACTGCAAATCTTTTGTTTTTGGTTATACTACGCAGTTTCATCTATAGATATTTACTTGATTTTTTGATCATTTTTAAAGAACCAAAGATCAAAGTTTTAGACAATCCCATCAAAATAACAATAATCAAAGTTTGGTGAGAGCTGCTTTTGCAAGGAGATGTATATTTACTTGAGAAGCTTCATGTCGACATGCACTTGAAAGGGAAATCGTTTTATAAATTAACTTCTTTCCATTTGTACAATTTACGCAAAAGAATATAATTTTAAACACATTTTGATGAAGCAGTTTTATCGATTAAGATGCAGGAAATTCTTTGTTTGATCTGGTGTCGCATAAATGTAGTAAAATAATCATGACGTAATAGGCACACGGTCTAGTGGTAATGTCTCTGCCATTGTGTCGCGAGAGTTTCAGAGTTTGAGCCCCACAACAGACATGAATTTTCTTCGCTTGGAAAAAGAAAGAAAAAGAAACAGTACACCGTGAATTTGAAAGCTGAATTTCCAGCTGGTATTAATAATTCAAAAGATAGTAGTGTACTAGGTTAACAATGAAGTTTACAGGAAAGTGAGTGACACATCGTTCCCTACAATAACTCAAAATTAAGTTAATTAGCTTAATTATTTTTAAAAATTGTTTATTTATAATACTGTGAAGTTAATGATAATAATAATTCCTCCCCAGCAGATCCATCTTGCTAGTTCAAATCAGCTGAACAAATGTTAAGCCCTGTACAAGTCAAAATATGCCTACAAATAAATCTCAACATTTTAACATGTACAATATACGTACTTTAAGCATGCTCAAAAACTCAAAACAACTCACTCAAACTTATCTTCGTGTTTCTTGATAAATCCTTTAACTACCTCATTATACTCCTTTTCAATACACTTTAGGTCCTGTTCAACATCATCAAATATTTCTGTGTCTTTCAAAAGGCATTTTCTGTCCTTTTTGTTCCAAAACATGGGCTGGTCCAATTCTGTTAAACTTGGTACTATATCCAAGTAAGGTTTCCAAAATGACTCGGCATTAGTATACTCATACATTAAGGATAAAAGAAGTGGCACCCATCCTGACCTAAACAAATTTATATACATGTGATGTATTAAATAAAAGATCATGGGTAACAGGAATACATTCAGAGATATCTAATAAATCATATTCTGTCGAAAAGTAACAATAGTCATGTAAATATTATAGAGATAAATTGTCCACTACAACCTAATAAGCATAAATTAATGTACTACATTTTTCTAATCATATGACAAACTGTGTTCAGAAACTATAGATTGTACTTAGCTTATAGTGACAGAGCCTTTATGAATCAGTTACAATGTAACCCTAGCCCTAAGCTATACATTTAACATCTCGATGTATTTACCCTCTTCCTGATAATTCTGTTAAATCTTCATCTATGTCAACAATAATATTGGCAATAGATGATGTTTTGGCTTCAAGTAGAAGTTTTCTGGGAATGGTGAACAAGCATTCATTCTTCTGGATATCTTGTGTTGCTATCATGCCATAGCGATGGCATGATCCTGCCTTACAAATCTTTACCTGAAATCCATCAAAATGAACTAATTTTAAATTAAAATTACCACTCATAACTGCAGTAACTAGCAATTTTTGCAACACGGCAATCCTGATGACAGCCTTACCAATGAGAGACAGTCCATAACCAATGTCATTTATGACTACAATATTTATATATAAGCTTATATACATGTATACAGCCTTTTGCACAAATTATGAGACATTTTTATATATATAAATATACCTAACCAAATATAAAAAACACCCAAGAAATTATGGGATACCGTCGCTGATATTTTGTCTGTAACAACCTGATGCTAGGCAATCATGACAAAATATAATAGAGATATACCATAATTTCTGGGGTGTTTTTGATATTTGGTTAGGTATATTTATATATATAAAAATGTCTCATAATTTGTGCAAAAGGCTGTAGTGGAAACTAGATAAGACCTTCCAAGGGTGGAGCAGTGTCTGTCTGACACTACATCAAACACTCTTCATATCATGATTGTTGAATTAAAAAATAAATTATCACGCAAAGTGTAACTACCAACCTTCTCGTTCAGAATGAGATTATTATTTTTGCACCACAAAAGGAAAGTTGTCATCTTGCCCGACATTTTGATGAAATGGTCCCTCTCATTCCCAGAGCTTCTCTGCTCGCTTTTTGGAAAGGGCCCGGTCCCCCAGTTAGGTAACGACACAAAGGAAGCCCAAGGCAACGATGACGGTTAATCTCAATACAGTATAAATTTTCGTAGATCTAAGAACTAAGTTTTCTCCCGGTTGAACTAGGAGCGACTGGCTATAAATTGCAGTCTTTGCTACACACAATAATGTCTCTTCTTGGTCTTTTGGAATACGAAGGTTCATCATCTGACTCTTCAGACTCAGAAGATACTAAAGGAGATTGGATTTTGAATCATTTAAGCCATTCTACACAAATGTCAGAAAATGCTAAAACTTTTCACCTCCCCTCGCCTGAACTGGAACCAACCGTTGATAACAACTCTTCGCGAACGTTTCAGGAATCGTCAGTTTTCTACAACCCGTTCAAAGCAGAGGAGAAGAAAAAACTCGATCTATTAGAAAAACATGTCCATCTTTCAAGTCTAACTCCTCCTCCAAAGAGAAACAAAGGAATTTGTTACAAGTTTCAAAAAGGAAAATGTCGATTTGGAGACAAATGTCGATTTGCACACAATGTAAGCCTAAGAAGTACGGAAAAAAAGCAAGTAAACTATGACGATAATCATCTACAAACATCATGTGAAGATGAGGACCAAAATATCAAAACAAAGTACAAAAAGCGGAAAGTGGGATTGAGTGACTCGGTAATTCCACCTAAAAGGGCGATGAAAGCCTTCTATGAGCAAAAAGGGACTTGATTGGTTAAAGGACTTTCATGACTCATTATTAATTTACGCCCATCATGAAAATCAAAACTTACAGGATAGATAGATAGATATTCCCGAACATGTAGGGTTGCAACTTTTATGAAAACCATAGGCTACCCAACTATAGCTTGAGAGAAAGAAAAGAATGAATGCGCACGCTTTTATATTATGTTATCGAATCGGCGTGCGCTGTGGGTTACCTGTGGTATTACGTCACGATCGCGTGCCTCGCGAGATACAAACTAGTGTGGTTTGTATCCCGCGAGGTGCGCGATAGTGACGTAATACCACAGGTAACCCACAGCGCACGTCGATTCGATAACATAATATAAAAGCGTGCGCATTCATTCTTTTCTTTCTCTCAATCAATAGTTGGGTAGCCTATGTGAAAACCTGATTTTATCCCACCTCTGGATTGGATGGCACTCGTTTGGATGAATCCAAAACAGGTGGCTTTTTATCTTTTGTCAAATTCTTCAGCCTGGAACTGAAGCCAATTTGTTTTGTGTTCATCCAAGGTGAGTTTGTGATAGGTGTATTCAAGTCCAAAATGAGCATGCTATCTACACACTGTCTCTTAAAGTATATGCCCTTCTGCCATCCCAATCAAAATACCACTAAACAAAATTGTGGTCACCAATTTATGATATACCTGTACATGATACAGAAGGAGAGGGGTTGTTGTTGTTTAAAACAGCTTTGAGTTTGTGACAATTGTCACAGATGTTGTTTTTTGAATTTAGGAATATGTAAATTTATTGTACCTTAGGGGAAAAAAAGAAAATAATCTTACATGTAAAAATCTAAAGAAATGCTGTTCTACATTTCATAATGGCTCGACCATGAAGACAAATTGTGCTAATTATAGGTAAATCAAAATACACAAGCTACTATAAGTTAATTGTAATATTTTATTATACAGTAAGACCTTACTAAGTTTGATAAATTAATTCATCTGATACAGTTTGTGTGAATGAGGCAAGAAGTCTTTCAAATCCTTAAAGAATCATAACCACCCGTCGTACCTTGCGCGCTCATACTATTGTTTACATACGTTTAAATGCGTCAAGCATACAATAAATTATAGATTGATAGTACCTGTGAGGTACTTAGTTAAAGGTATTTCTGTCCAAACTGAAAGGACGGAAGATGATTTGCGCTCACTTTAAGAAATCCTACAAATCCGCCATTTTCGTGTCCACCTAAAATGGCGCTTCGGTTCGCAAGGTACGGCGGGTGGTTATGATTCTTTAACTCACTACCAAACTCTCTAATACATGCTAATACTCCATTTTTGAATTCATAGCAAAAAACCGCTGCTTTATTTGACAACAGATTCTCTTGTGCAAAGACCTGACCAAACACAAAGGAGAGCACGAGAAAATGTCGTTATTACAATAGCCTTGAAAATTTGCATTTTCCCCAAATTGAGACTAACTCTGTATTCCCATTAGACCTAAGGTATGAGCCTTCTGGGAATAGAGGGTTAGCCTCAACTCGGGTAAAATGTAAATTGTTAGCGCTATAATTGTAATAACGGCATTTTCGCAGTGCTTTCTTTTGTGTTTGGTAAGGTCTTTGTGTAAGAGAATCTGCTGTCAAATAAAACAGCAGTTATTTGCTTTGAATTCGAAAATGGACTATTTTCCCATCATAAGTAATAAACATATTGAAATAAATACGTGGCAATTTACAGATGATGTGACATAACAAAACTAGTTGAAAGAGTATGAAGGATTTTGAGGAGCACCACACCAGTGACCAAGGAACCGTAACACATCTTGACACTCTGGGCTGTGTGATACTTTAGTCGCCATAATAAACTTGTTCCAGTCCTCTTTATTAGCAGCCTTTCCTGGTCGTTTAAAGTCAATCTTGTTACGAAGGACTGGATAACCTTAATAGATATTAAATAAAAACAAATAAATCTGATTACAGACAGGAAAAAACTTGACTGCACCTAAACTATTTCTTGAAACTCAAAAGATATATTTATTAAAGTTGCAAAAGATACTGTGTTAAGAATAGTCAGGAACTCCTCCTTCAGCGCCCATGCACAAAAAAAATTAACCACTCTTGGCGACTGTTCATTCTCTGTGGTTGTGTTTTCCCTATCCTAAATCTAACATTTTCTTCATTTAAGAGTCATCTAAAGACTTTTCTGTTAAGTAAAGCTTTAGTTTGATTATTGAACTTGAATATTAATTATTACTAACTTTATTTCATAATTGACTGCCTGTAATTGTAAATTAAAATTATATTTAATAATATTAGTTTTTGATTTTTATAAATAAGTTGATTCTCTTACCAGTAATTACACAGGGTAATGAAATAATTGCTGTATTATTTGCTTTAAGACAGGCTTCATAAGTGTCTCTTTCATCTGTTGGAAGAACTTGCTCCACCTTACAAAAGAAAAGATGTCATCAAGAAATATGAACAAACATGTCAAATAATTTGATCATGATGTTTTACCCTCTGATCCATTGATACAGCAAGTACCCATTCCTTGATCTCTTCCCTTTTATCTTCCTGTAAACAACATTATTATTGAATACATAATATAACAAAGCCACACAAAACTAGGACTCCTAATGTAATGAAATAATAAGGGTGTCCTGTTACCCAAAGTACCTTCCAGATAAATTGATGCTGCTTACCAGGTATACACCATACCATTCCATGCATTACTTCGGAGACACCTTTAGTTTCACTGCCTTATTATCATTTAATATTTAATGTCGATAAGTTTCTCTTTTTCCTAAGAGAGGTAGCTCTACATACAGCTATAGAACAGTTGAAGGGGCATGATGAATGTCATCTCAAACACCGCAAAAACAAGCCAGATGTTGTAAACAAGCAATGTGTTGTTAATCATTTCATATGTGGCCTATGTGACTCTAGACTAATGAACATTGATTTAAAAACAGTCAATGCACTTGCATCAGCTTAATATACTATCGTCTTTGGTTGGACATCACATGAGAGAGCAAAATGGCCAGGACATACCTGAACTTAAAAACCATTTCTCATACTCATTAATTATTCATGAGGCATCCAGCCAATCCCTGATTGTAATTTGTACCACGTGCGGTAACTTTTGAATGATGTGTACTATTTGTTCTAATTTGTAAAATAATGAATACTGAATATGTGTGTACATGATTAATTGAAAATGATAAAAGTCAATCAACAAATTAATTTAATTTTTGTTTTGAAATTTTAAGCCTGCACCTAGTGATGACATTTAGCAAAGCTGGTGTTACTGAATCATTCCAACTTTTACTTCTAATTATCATAATTTATAATATACAATTTTTAACTTACTGGCAAAAACTGCTTTTCTGGTACTGGGACCTCAAATGGGATGTCAGTATTCATGAAATCACTATTATCCATAGTATCTAAAGTCCCTTCTTCAATGCCCTAAAGAAATTGTGACACAATGAATTATAATATTAAGTCAACAAAATAAACCATATCCTCCAATTCACTCGACATGAAATAGATTTTTGTGATAATATCTTAAGGCTGTTTATTAATTTGGTAAAAGCACAGTAACCAAAGACCAAAGCAATTATATGTAACACAGCTTTTTTCCAAAATCATGTAAAGTCAATATTAATTCATAATTTTACAGGAATGCCAAAAGGTATGAGTGTTACCATTATCAATATTCATTTGATYATATTGCACCAAGAGCTGGGAATTATAAATATTCAATTGAAGCAGCAGAGAAACCTTACCTCACTTAAGTCCAAGTAACGATTTAAAAAGACGAAAGCCATATTTTCCCATCCAACACTCTAAAAGAAACACACTGTATTAGACCCCTCAAATTGTTTATTCTTTAATCTGTAAATCCTTTCTGACTTTATAAAAAATATATTTTTAATTCATATAATTTTAAAAAAGCAATATATTTTCTTAAAATGAATAATTTTCAATATTATATTATATGTTTCCAAAATATAGGAAAAAAATATCATTAACAGAAATGTTGCCTATCAAACACAAGTTTAACTGTTAATACTAACACCACATTCTTGATTATCTCTTAGATACATATAAAAAGGTATAGGAGGGAGATAATTTTGTATGGTTTTTCAGAATATATGTATATACACCCCACTTTAATGATTCACTTTAAATTGTATGAGATGTTTTGATATGCTTATCATGACTGCAAGTAATTCTCATTTTTTAGAGCTTTAATCTACATCCCAGGTATAGCGGCCACAGATCTGACATTACAACACAGACTGCTCTGCACAGTGAATATGATCCATCAGTATCACTGGTTAAGTGGTGAGTATTCCTATTTCACATTCAAAATATGAACAATCTAAAACAGTTACAAATTATTATAATATTTAAATATATATATTGTTTCAGAGAAACTAATCAAAACACAGGAATACTAAAACATGCTTAAACTTCTACCTTAGCTGCAAGTCCTGCTTCATAGAATGCTTTGTCACATGGTACAATGTCAGAATGACGCAACAGTGAGATTGACAGCTTGGCTGCTAATGTATCCTGTATTACAAACACATCAATGCACATGTCATGAAGTAGTGCAAGTACATAGCTGCAGTATTAATATATATTTTGTCCAAAAACGGGTTGGGGATAATATCTGCATCACATCTTTCACAGGTACATTCTCTGTGTGAAGAATCTTACCAGTGATTTCTGTTGCAGTGCTGCAGCACGGTTACTGTAGTAATGTGCAATTTGAAGCATTTCCTCAAACTCTTTGTATTGCGTTGAACTGCTATCACCTGCTTTTGACATACTCTCCACCTTAAAAGTTAACATTAATTTTACTTATATTTTTTAATGTTATTATAATCATGGTAGTTTGTTACCACTTCTGATAGATGTTACTGTAGTTGATTGGAATTCCTTGTTTCCTTTTGTTGCAATTGGACAATTACCAAAACATTATGTTAATCACTCACAATGCTGATAGAATAGACAATTGTTCTAGCTGCAAAACTTACAATATCATAGAGAACATCTCTGAGATCAGCCCAAGTTCGGTAGCTCTCAGGACCATCAAGGTCAGGCATTGAAACAACATCATTCACAATGCGTTTATAAATGTTGAAGTTCTATCAAGAAAATATAATGTTATGTTGATTTTATTTTATTTTATTGACCTATTCATACTCACTCACCATCAAACTAATTACCTGTGAGTTACATGGTGCTCATACTCACTCACCATCAAACTAATTACCTGTGAGTTACATGGTGCTCCATATCGAGCAAACAGTTCCAGAGCCTTTAAAGAATTGCCATCTTTTATACTGCTAGCAGCATACAGTGCAACGTACTTGCTAAGAACCTCGTAGCCCTAGTATAAAATTACAATTTAATTACGGTACTGGTCTGGAGTAAGACAGATGTACAGTTTTGCACATTTAACAGAAAGACTGGTACAGGCAACAATAAATTGATGGGAATAGACACACAGGCATACAAATAGTAGGTAATGACAATTAGGGATAGACATATTAAAGACAAACAGTGAATACACACAGATGAACTACATATAATATTATTAATACACTGCATGGATAAGTCCAAATAATTAAATGTGACCTAACTTACAAAAGACACTCAGAATTGCGAAAGATGTACAGAAAAAATGGTAATAAATCTGGGATACCTGTTGTTCAGCAGTCTCAATAGCCTTATCCCACTGACCACGCTGGACCATCATGTCAAGTCCAGCAATAACATCAACATCTACAAGCTTAAAACAAAAGAAATAGATCTTGGAGTACAGGTAATGATGCCAAGCCAAATGAAATGATTTGAACTAACAGCAAAACGTTCACCTTGTGATTAGAATTGCATTACCTGTTCTGCTTGTCCTTTGTTTTTTAAGAACTTAACATATGCATCTTCAACATACTGTTCATACCTAATAAGTTATGTAACACCGCAAATTCAGGCTTTGTTATACTTTATAACTATAGATTCCACAACTAGTCATTAACATGTACTTTTAAAGTGCATAATTTGCACTGTGACGAATGAAAGTTTGACGTATAAAACCTTTTCATCAATTGGTTTTTTAGCACGCTTGTCCAACATTACTTTGAGATTTCACAAAAAAAGTTCTGGCTATTTTGTTCAATTTTTGATATCAATATCATCATGATAAGTTGTTGGTACTAACCTTGGTGCTATCTCAGCTGCACAGCGCTTTGCTTTAGGCCATAATTCACCATCAATATACAAGTCAATAGCCTCCTTAATCATTTCCACACCTATATACAACTCTGCACCTTGTTCATATGCCTTAATATCAGCCAGACGAGGGCAGGCTATACTTGCTATATCTACAGCACGATCAGGAACGAACTTCATTGCTAACTCTACAGCCTATTAAAAATGTACAGTTTCATCAACTAACATATTAGATACATCCCTGATATTATATGATAAATCTTTCATCAAGAGATATAGGAACTTTTCATGCACAGCTTATCTGTTTACGATACTATGCATAATAAGAAAAAATAATGAAAAGAGAATCCTAAAACAGGCAGCATTTGCAATTTCAGCTGGGTCATTAATTAAAAGGTGTTTCCAACTCTTTTGTTTTGTTCGCTACGTAAGCAGATAAGCTGGGAATGATAAGTTCCTATACCAAAAAATGAAATCCCTTTGACTGATATTAATTATATTGAAGCTAACAGTAGAGATGGATTTTTTAAACTACTCAACTACTAATAGCCTTTCAAATGCTGAATCTGGAGAATATGTTTAATGAGAAAATTGTCAAAATTTGCTGCACCCTTATTTTTTGGAAATTGTAGCATTTTTGACTATTTAATAAATAAATTAAAATATTCTGATTTACACCAAATTTTGGATTTGTTTGTCTCAAACATTCTTGCTTTCAATGTAGAAGGTCTTATCACATGATTATCCAAATGGCAGATTTCGGATTGATTGAGTTACATCACTTATTTCACTTCAAAACCCTAACCCTAACCCTTATCATGCTAGCTAGTATGTCACAGTCTGTTGCAGTTTTTTATAGAGCGAGACATTAATAACATAACAAGGGACTATACATTATGTCTGAGTACAACAGGTACTAAAGATGTGCATTATACCTTAACCATAGCATCCTCTACCAAGTCATGATCACTAGTCATACTAGGTGTTATCTTCATATACATATCAATGGCTCTTGTGTATTCTCCCTTTTTCTCCCATTCCTTGCCTTGTGATAGTAATGACTCTGCACCTCTGAATCGTGACCAATCAATGAGCATTATTGGAAAATAATATATTAAGTTGATTTCTGTGCTTACTGTCTTACCTATTGCCCTTTGAAAGCACTTCTCTATCATACTCATCCTGCCATTGCTCCAGCTAAAGCAATTTTGATTACAGTTAGCCTTATACATACAATGAAGACACTATAGGTCTGAGTGACTAAAAATAGGTCTGAGTGACTAAGATTGGGTTTGGGTTCAACAAGGATATCATTGCAGGTTGGATTAGGTTTCAATTAGGGCTGGGTTTGGTCCAGATTTATTGTTTCTTTATACTAAGATGAATTCACTCATAAATGACTGCTTGCCAATATAGTTGGCTGCAATAGCTCACTTGGTAGACCATTATTATATAAATAATGATATTAATAAATATAATTATTTATAGCATATTTAAGAGCATAATTTTAATAATATATTTAAATTAAATCATTTTTTTATTGAAAACAGCAAGAGTATTTTGAATAAAAATATATTTTGATTCATTAAATTACCTTATGTGGTAGATATTCCTTGACAACCCGTAGTGCATCTGTCCACATTCCAGCATCCTAGTGTATATATATTACTTGGATCATTGGTATTGCAAGATGTTGTATGTCGTGATTGTACATTTTAGTGTGAATCATGATTGTGTGGATTGAAAATTACAAATTGATTGACAAAGTTTACCTTATAGTACTTGGCTGCAAGCTCTGGTCTTTGTGCTCGAAGCAGGAAGGTTTCTGTCTTTTGATACTCTTTACGATCAAATGCTACACGTGCCTACAGAATAGAGAATACAGAATACTTTTGGTAAAAATCAAGTAAATAATGTCACTAAATAAATAGTATAATATTTAAAGGCCTTATAGCTAAGAATGTGCTAAATTTTGTTTTCAATCTTAGGTAACTAAGGAGGAAACAATTAGGGGTGGCAAGGGTGGCCTAGTGGTTAAGCTACTGGCCTCTCACCGCTGTGGTCCAGGTTCGATTCCCGGACACGGACCATATGTGAGTTTGAGTTTGTTTGATGTGTTGTTCTCTCCCTTGCCACGAGGGTTTTTCTCCGGGTCCTCCGGTTTTCCTCCCTCAGTAAAAATCAACATGTGAGGAGTGTTGTGTGCTAAAAATACTTAAAGTAGAGGTAGTGAGTGTGAGAGTACAGGGTCCGCAGTAATTGGCTCACGCTGTTGCGGTGTCCCTGCCCATACTAGGGGCAAAGCTAATAAATTAAAATTAATTACAGCTGAAGTTGTTACCTGTCCAACCATGACGTCTGCAACACTGTCTGGATCATGCTCTTCAGCAACTCGTTGTGCACTATCCCAGTCTTGGTTATGAACATACCTAAAACAATATATTTTGCATCATAAATGAGTTTTTTACTAGTAATAAAAATGTTTCATTTAAAGTTAGACAGTCTAACTGTCTAACATTTATGCATCATACAATAATCGATAATTTTCCATGATTACAATTTCATTGAATCAGTTTGTTGTTATTTTCGGAGCTGTATATCTCATATTTCCCTGGCATTTTAATAATGTCTATTGTTCTGGAAGCCTTCAACACACAAATGTCTGTCTTAAATTACAATAAGTGTGCTATCTGCTAGAAACTAAGCAATAAAACTGCTTTTTTTAGTTGGTTGTTGTTGAGGTTCATGGTAACCATAAATAGTTGAATTAAAATCAATAAAAAATAATTTTGTATAAACCTTTAATTGTTTTTAGAATTCACGAAAATTGATCATATTTCAAGATTCCAAATGTCATTTTGCACTGCTTTTCTGTGAAAATCTTTTTGATTGTCAATAATAATTTATAATTAATTGTAGTTTATCATATAATGTATTATCTAACCTTGAATGTTGGCAATAATTGCAGACACATAATGTATATGGCTTACAGCCTCAACTCTTATTATTTTCAGTGTCAGTAATTCTGTAATTGCTTCGCTCAGAGGACTTTTTTGTGTACTCTGCATTTTTCCCCCTTCAGATGTTATGGATGTGCACCTTATCCTCAGTATATAATTATTTCACAATACGTTCTGTTGTTTATGTAATTATACATCAATTTAAGACTGTTTTGCTTACATGAGCACAGCCTCTTTAGCTCTCCCTGCTTTAACAAACTGTTCTTCTGCATCCTTGTATTTCCCTTCATCTTCCAAGTACATGGCATACTTAAGGTGAATATCTGGTAACTTGTGCTTCATGGATGTACGGGCCAGATCAAAGGCAAATTCAAAAGCACTTAAAATATATAATACTGAATAAGTCAGGAATCAATAATTTTCATAAATACAAAATTTATATAATTTGCATAAAATAGTACAATAGTACAATTAATATGCAAGGATGTTAGTAAGTACCAGTTTTCTGCTGCATAGTCAATAGCTGCTTCTAGCAGACCAAACTTTGTCAGCAGTTTCACTGCTGAATCACCACCTATAGTTAATAGAAAAAATGTTCAATATTTTCTACATATCCTGAAATCTAATCATCTTACAAATCCAAGCAATGCTAAATGAAATCATAGCTGCAGTTAATTATTAAAAGTAAACATACACGTACCTAAGCCTTTAGCCCACAAATATGCTACTTGTTTTGCTGCATTAGGTCCACCATTTTGCTTAGCAGTCTGTTATAACAAGATTTAATGAATAACTAAATGCTAAAATTACTAGATTCATTTGATAAAATTCTGCATTCTGTTTGGATGTGTCTTATTTTGATTAAAACTAGAAGAACAATTCATTAAGTTAAAACACATTGCAAGCATTTGAGAGTCATTTCATCTGTTGATACAATATTAAAATATTCCAATCTGACAAGTTTACAAATTAAATTATTTTTAAAACCTAACCCTGTATGCTTCTTCCCACATATCATTAGCACGATACATATTAACTGCTGCTTTCCATTCTTTGGCTTCAAGGTAATGATGCTCTGCTTGGCGCAGCTGACTCTCATTTTCAAATTCCTAGGAATTTATTTCAATCAATAACTAAGTTATAGGATTTTTGTAAGTTATAGGATTTTTTATAATAAATATAATTATTATGATCAGCATTACACATCCTCTGTTGTAGATAACTGGTGGAACAATTCAGTACTAGCAAACATATAATCATATAATCAATAACATTATGTACTTTACCTTTGCAAGGTGCAAGTGAGTATCAACCAAAAGGTCTTTATGATAAATAGTGACAAGTCTTATCATGTGATCATACTGAAAAACAAACATTACTATAATTAGTCCTCCATCATTAGAAATGCCGATCATAGAAGTCATTGTACTTGGACAAACTTATTAACTGTCAGCAATCTTTCAGTCTTCATCAGGCAATAATTAAGATGCAGTTTTAGGATTAGGGTTAATCTTTTACTAGAATTTTACACCATTGATTGCCTGATGAAGACCATCATATCATATATTGTATGGTGAGACTGCAGCAGCTATGAATTAATATGCAATTAAATAGTTTAACCCTTTGACGACGGGTGTTTTCTTGTTGATTTTGGAGCTTTTTCGACCCTAACATCTTGATAAAATAATTGACTTYCATATAAGGKGCTGTCAATAAAASTATTTCGGATTTGAATTCCCTAGGGAGCGTTAATTTATGCAGGGTTTTGTAAATTTAGTTCAGACCGTTTGTTTATCGACCGGTTGGGCCTAAATTTGCCCAAAAACCCGTTTATAAGTGTTTTTTTGAGCTTTTTGCTGCCACAGGAGCCCCTAGGCTTGCATCATTAAGCTTGACTAGTCGGCAGAGACAATCTTCTGGAAGAAATCAGAGGTGGAAAGCGGTTTTTCGAAGACAATGGCTCCAAGTCATGCTTTGTTTTGAACTGGAGACACCATTGTAAGATCGCTTTCCTGGTCCATCTGTGGCAGATTTTCCAACCTACCAAGGTAATTTTGGCAATATTTGACAACCAAAGAATGCAATTGGACCAATATTTTGCCTGTAGGTGCGGGGGAGCTCACACTTATAAAATATTTCTTAAAAGAAGAATGCTGGAAGATTTTTTATGTCGAAATTTTGTCTCTTCCCGTCATGCATTTCGGTCGTGCATAGGAGTGTATTGTACTGGGTGCTCAAAAGAGGGCTGTTGAGAGGTCTGCAGTGACTTTGACAGAATAAAAACGGGAAAATGAGGACGTGCTATCAAAGGGGTTTGCAAGTGAAGTGGACTTTTTGCTACAAAACATGTTTTGACGCTAAAAATTGAGCTGGAAATTAGTGTTTSCTGTAGTCCTCYAAACGCAAATTTTGGCATTCACTTGCCAGTAAAGTACTGTTTTGTGACTTTTTTTACCTCATTGGGAAATTCTTTGAACTTTAAGATCGACAATATTTACTAGTGAGTTCACACTAACAATTTCAGGGATATAGCTTACTATTTCGGTCACTTATCAATTTTAGACGCATCGTTCGAATTCGAACGATATCCTATAGGGCAGTCGCCAGAGGGTTAATATCAGATCTCACCTGTCTTAATTTCTTGTACATGTTAATAGCCAAATCAGGTTCATCCACAGTGCAGTATAATCTACAATTATTTATAAATATAATATCATTTATGTATGACATAAAATTTGGTCATTGGCCAACTAGAATGTTCTTTTTACAATCAATTATATCGAGTATTAAATGGAAAGGCATTGGCACCTGAGTTTGCAAAGAGCAGTTGACTAGCTTGGCTAATCAAATGATTAACACTAGTTCATTCTTATGGCCAGCAATAATGTTAATATTATTATAGACTAAACAATCTACAACGTTACAGCTATCATGAAGATAAGAAGTTGTCTATCCTCATTTTACAAATACCTTTCTGCTTCCTTGAATCGGCCTTGAGCCTCAAGTTCTTGAGCTTGAGATATGTATAGTACTGCAACTTCTTCAGGCTTCATACACTGTACTGCAATCTATAAAACAGAACATATCCTTCTAGAAGTTTCTTTCAATAGTGAAGTGCTACGAGCAAAGGCATGATATAGTGGTGTGTGAAAAATAGAGAAACTATTAATATTATTTACTATAATAAATACTTATAATACTATAATAATACTTTTAGTGTTGCTGGACCTTTTCCTATGGAATTCACTTAAATCCATCTTCAGTCAGAGACATTTCTTCACTTGATAATTTTAAAACTGCTCTTAAAACCTTATTTAAACAAACTAATGATCTGTAACTCTATTGTAACTTTCTTTACCTTTAATTTTTATCTTTTTTTTTTGCGCTTAGAAAAAGTTTTATAAGCGCTGTATAAGCTTAGATTATTATTATTATTATTATTATTATTAAAGTAGTTGATATCTCTAGTATGGTGAAGGACTCTTGTACACTAAAGCACTGCCTGAATTTTAATCACTGTTACATTACATGTAACAGTTGATATAACATATAATTTTCATTAATTAATAACAAATTTGTAAACTTAGGTACTGTTACATCTCTTATGAAATCTGTTATATAATCTTTCAATTGCTGGCTCTGAGATAGGGATGCCTCAATGGATCATCGCTGGTGACGTTGATCGTATGATATTACAACACTGCATATCGTATGATATTACGATAGGCATTAAAATGCATTAAAATCATCCATCGCTCTCCCATTTGAGAGTACATTACTATCATGCGACACAGGGATCCCGCAAACGGCCTGTAATAGTGTCGCTGCTCACTTCGCTCGCAGCAATTAAAGGAAACTATGTATAAGAAAACATACTATCTAGTATATAATATGAGGAGCATGGATTGCCTATTGGCCTGGGACTATTATGTGGTTTGAGTGTGCAAGCTGGTTTTCTCCTATTGTCCAAAAGTTTTCTCTATAGGTGCATTCTTGGTTTTCCTCCCTCCATTAAAAATTAGCTGTGAGGAGTGCTATAGTGTATCTTTAATATGAAGAAGAAGGTAGGTTGAGAAAGATAAGCTTTATAAGATATAAGATTACCTTTGAATGACATTTTAACACATTTTGCTCTGACTACAACATTTCAGAATTTGTTTATTGACAACAGGGGAAAGCCTGGCTCTTCCAGGATTATATTTTAATGCAGTTGTCTGCATTTTTGTTCAAATAAATAAGCTTTGATATTATACCTCCAGTAATTATACTAGTTACCTTATGTGCTGCTTCATACATGTTGGCTTTAGTATACATCTCAATAGCTGCTCTTGGATCCCCAGACTTGACATAAAACTTCTCAGCCATCTGGCAGACAACAAATAATTATTTAATATATATTATTATACTTGTCTAGTATTAAAATCATTACGATAATCATTGCATGTCATGAACAATTCTTAATATGTATGGCTAAATAAGATTTAGTTATCAACTAACTAAGAATTCAACAAAGCATAAACACAATTATGACAATTATTTAAATTCCTTTGTAGCATTGTTCTCAATTCTTAGTTGATAACTAAATCTTATTTTAATTAGCACTACATAGTAATGACTTGCACTCTACAGTCCCTACCTTGTATTCCTGTACTTGGGAATAGTGCTGTGCAATGTGGTGGTAATACCTATAGCAAAGAAACAAAGTGCATCAGTCATATCCAGAAAGGAAGGGAAAATGATCAACTGCTTGCTATTGTGTGTCATTTACCTCTCTGCAACAGCATCCTCTTGTAGTTCAACTATCTGTACTGCTTTGTTCCATTGTCTGGCCTGAATAGCAGCTTCAATAGCCTTCACTGAACACCTAGTAAACACATTAAGGGGATCACGGTAACCTTTAATCTAAATACAGGTCATTTTGCACAGGACTCTTAGCAAAAGTTGAAGGTAATATTAATAAAAGTCAATCCATGCTGCATATTATATATTATGCTGCATATCATACTAATAATAATAATAATAATAAGAAGAAATGCTTATATAGCGCACTATACATAGTCTCAGTGCGCTTTACAAAATATATATAAATAAATATAATAAATACATAAAAATTAGAAATTAGAAAAACATATCGCAATATTAAAAAAAACAGAGATTCCAAAAAAAAAGTCATGTTGTTCTTATTTGGGAAAAAGATGAGTCTTAAGCTTGGATTTAAATGTTGCTAGCGAAGGCTGGTTCTTGACTTCTTCAGGTAGAGTGTTCCAGAGACGCGGAGCAGCATATTCAAAACGTCGATCACCATAAGACGAGGTTCGAGATGGTGGAATCGGCAATAAGTTCTTAGCTGAAGAACGAAGTGGTCGAGAGGGCTTGTACTGTGTTAACAGTCCAGACAGATATGATGGTGACAAACCATTAAGCACCTTATATGTGAGCAGCAGGATTTTATACTGAATACGAAGATGTACAGGAAGCCAATGTAGATCTTTAAGAATAGCTGATATGCTATCACGTGGCTTCGCACCAACTACT